TAAAATTTGAAAAAAAAAGATAATAAAAAATAATCAATATATTATTTAAAGCCCGAGACAGAATTTCTTAAAAGGGTATTTTGAGGGCTGAGAAGACAGTTTAATGGCATAAGCACCTGCCTGGTAAGCTTGAGACCCCAAGTTCAATCCACAGTACCACAAAAAATAGAATAAATAAATAAAAGGATTTTGAGTAGCACCATAACTAATGAAATACAAATATAAAGTCATTTACAGGGAGCCAGGAAGATAGCTCAGTAGAGTAAGTGCTTGCCTGGCAAGCACAAGGGCCTAAGTTCAATCCCCGGTTCCACCAAAAAATAAAAATAAATAAAAATCATTTACAAGTAAAGCACTGGAAAAATAAATCTGTACAAATTGCTAAAACACTAGACCATAAGCTTGAGTACAGATCTGCACAAAGCAAATCTCTGTCTTACAGCATCCAGAACACACTGCTTTCTTTATACAGTGCATGCACTGCAGTATTCACTGAATAAATGCAAGAATGAGTAGAACTCCACTTAGCACCTGCGTTAAAGCCTAATGGCCAAATATTCTGCTTTTTTCAATCATCCACCATTCCAATTAAGTTATAAATTTTAATTTACTTGTACCTTAAATGAATTTTCAAGATCAACATACAGAACATCCTTTAAAAATAACTTCTTAAAAAACAGAAAAAAATAAAAATAACTTCTTGTAATGATTACATGAATAAAAAGAAAAACTTGCCCACAACAAAGGCTCCTTGCCCTCAGTAGAGCACAATGTGTCTACTCTGTGTACGTGTCGATGCTTCACTTTCGTAACACTGTGCCTTGTGTAAAACTCATTTGTCCAACTGTGTCATGAAAACGAACAAAACTGCAGCTGAAGCCTAAAAACCTATCCTAGGGTCCTGCCACATAGCTCAGCGTATTAAAGCGATTGCAAGCAGGCACAGGGGCCGGGCATTCAATCCCAGGGCCTGCCATGCCACCATGCCAGCCCCACCCCTGGGATGAGAGATTGAGACTGGGTGTGGTGGCGCATACCTGTAATCCCAGCTCTTGGGAGGAGGATCACTAGGAGTCTGATCTAATAGTGAGACCCTGAACATTCTGTAGACCCTTTCCTAAAATACAGAAGATAAAAAAAAACAAAAAAAACCCTATCCTAGGAAGAATCACATTTTATACAAGTATTTCTTACCCAAAATGTTCGAGACCAAAATTATTAAAGAGTTTACATACTTTTGGATTTTGGGGAAAAAAAAATATATAGATAGATAGATAGATAGATAGATAGATAGATAGATAGATATCTTGTGACTAGTACCCCAAATGTAAACAAAAAAGTCATGTTTCATGTAATCTTTATATACATAGCCTGAAGGTCATTTTATGAAATTTTTAATAATTTTTAGGGCTGGCCAGATGACTCAGCAGACTAAAGCACCTGCTCAGGCAGGCACAGGGACCAGGGTTCAATCCCCAACTTTGGTGTGCTATGCCAGCCCCGTCCCAGGGGTGCACTGAGATGGCAAATGAAGACTGGGCATGGTGGCATGCACCAGTAACTCATTCCAGTGTGTGGGAGGCTGAAAACAGGAGGATCACTACAGGTCTGATCTGTGTAATGAGACCCTGTAGACCCTGTACTAAATATATAAAAAATAAGTATAACAATTTTGAGAATGAAACAAGTTTTATAGTGTGAAATTTTCTATTTGTGGTGTCATATTGGTGTTCAAAAAGTTTTAGAGTTTAACATACCCTGGAATTTAACTTTGGATTTTAGATTGGGGAGGTTCAATCTGTATTTTATAAAAATGGAAATCAAAGCTTACCAGAGACCAAACACTAGCCTTAGCATACCAGGGAGAAACTTCGCTGGGTAAAGAAGCCCTTCCATGCGTGGGTTTAGTGCTACAGACTCTTACCTCACCATGATAAATCAGAATCTGGAAGAATGTGTCCATGAGAAGAATACGATCTGCAAGAATGCTGCTGCTGTCGAGGAGAACCGGCTACCGTGAAGAGAACGACAGGAAATGAGGAAAATACCGAATACATAAAGAATTTCTCCAGAAAATCATTTAAATTTTAATTGTACATTTAAAAATCTCTTGCTATTATGAATTCTCACAGTGTATTTTCATTTTCTGAGGAATGTCTATAATCCCAACCTTCTGAGGGGCTGAGGCAGGATGATTGCCAAGTTTGAGCCTAGTCAGGACAACTTGTCAACTTAGTGAGGCAACCCCATTTCAAAATAAAAAACAAAAAAAATTTGCAAGAGATGTAGCTTTGTGTGAAAGCCCTGGTTTCAAACTTTAGTACAGAAAAAAAAGGGGGAAGGAGAGAAGGAAAGGAGGGAGGGAGGGACGAAGGGAGCGAGGGAGGGATAGAAAGGAATAAGTAAATGAAGCTAGTAAGATTTAGGTATTCAATGGAATGGTTGAAATTTGATAGGAGCAAGGACTAGGGATGGTGAATTTCAATTTAAATGTAAATATTATTCTACATTTTTTCTTGATGTCTATAATTCATTGACATTATTCTGAAATAAGAACAAAGTTCTATACAAAACTTATTTTTCTGCTTTAAAGAGTTACAAAACCAAAATATTAAAAAAGTTTTCCTAGATAAGCAGAAAGTATTTGACAAATTTGACAAAAAAAAACTAAGAAACAAAATAAGGCATTTTAAAAACTATTTTATAAAACTTGAAGTAGAACCTGGCATAGTGGCACATGCCTGTAACACCAGTGCTCAGAGGCTGAAGCACAAGGATCACCACATGTTCAAGGCCAGCCTGGGCTACATAGTAAATTTAAGACTGACCTGAATTACAGAATAAGATACTGTCCCAAAATAATCAACAAGAATAACAACAAAAATCTTGAGGTATCATGAGGGCCCATTAGTCAATATTATAAATATTCTTTTTGTACTATACTGGCCCTTTATACAGTTTTATTTTCAAATAAAATCATTATATACTTTTAAGTGGTTCAACAATTTAAGGTACAGCGCGAAAAATAGCTCAATTGATAATGAAGTTATCAATAAAGTTGCTAAAAAAAAGTGGATGATTTTCTCAATCTTCTGCATGTATGTCTTCATAATCAACTATATCTTATACTCTCAAAGGACCAAAGGAAAATGAGATGATGGTAAAACAAGAGACTGTTTAGACAGGTCTGTTTAGTCTGTAACTATCAGACACTAAACTCTGAAATAAGCTACATACTATAGAATCATAATTACTTCTAGATATTGTTAGACATAAAGATTAAAATAAATATTTTATGGGCAAAAAAAGACATAAAGAATACTCATACATAGCTAGACAAAATGATCTATAAGTCTCTTACCATATTTTTAGATTATTTCAATTATTTCCTAATGGAATATTATAACTAGTATTAAAAAGTGCTCATAAATGTAAGTGAATATATGAATAGCTATGAAAACTATTCATTCAATAAATTTTTAAATTCAATAGCTATATTACTAAAAAGAACTTAGTTACTTCTGCTTTTTTAATACTATCACACAGTAACAAGCCCAACCAACCTCTTTTCCTGCTTCTCTTACCTCTGGTGGTCCACTAAAAGAATACGCATATAGAATAGGCTGAATCATGATTAGAGACTGGGTCAGATCTTGACGCATAAAATGGTGCCGGTAGTACGAACTCTCATCAGGACTGTTGTTAAAAACTTGCAAAAAAGGAGATCTTCTTAAATGAAACATAAACTGTAAGATAAAGCATGTAAGATAGCTTTTATTGACTTTAATATTACTATAGAAGTTCACTATTAACAAAAGCATTTGATTACTACTATGTATTAACACAGTAAAACAAGTTACAAGAATCTTCAAAAGTTATAAGAAAATTCCAAAGCTTCTACAAAAGGAACTTCATTCATTGTACTTATCAGTTGCTTAAAAGTCTAATTCTATAAGAAAAAAAAAAAAAACTGAGGGTGATTTAAAAGGAAAAACAAAAGGGACAAAAACCCAGTTGCTCAAATCTAAGAGACAGGATGAGGAGAAAAAGGAAGTATAAGGAGTTCGATCAAAATACTCAGGCTAATCATGTTTTTGCCCTATAAACTTCAATTACAAAGATGAGGTCTCAAAATTCCCAAAGTACAAAGGATTTTGCATGGCTTAAGATAAGCAGGCCCTGCTTCTACTGCTTTTCTGAAACCATCAGAAGTCTGTAAACATCTCCCTGTATAAAAATGGAGTTTCTGGGCCCAGATCCATAAGGATTTCAATGAATGAATGAATGTTCTAAAAAGAAAGCTAGAGTTTTAGACAACATTTTTATAGGCAAAAACTTGAATTTCCACATCTTAGCACTAATCATCCCCCTAGGCTGAGCTAAAGTGCCAAGTCCTATCTGGGCACAGTGATCTGTATCTATAATTCCAGCACTTGGGAAGCTGAGGCTGAAAGAGTACCATGAGTTCAAGGCCAGCATAGGCTACATACTAAGTTTAAGAACAGCCTGAGTTGCACAGCAAGACTCTAGCTCAAAAGAAAACAAAAGTCAAGTCTTACAAATGTAACAAACCATCCACCTGAAAACTTTTCTTTAGATTTGGTGAACCTTTCAAAGCATTTCTCTTCTCCGTGTTGTTTGGGTGCATCTCAGGTCTCACCTTGAGGTGGAAGCTGTGTAAAGTAGTGCCTATGACATCATCTTTGTCCTCCTAGAGTCCCTGCACATTGTACTCAGTTGATTAAATATTATCACTTACTTATATAGAAAACCTAGGCTTCAAAAATATCTGACAAATTGATGGTTAAAGAGAGTCTACTGCTCCCTGTGAAAACGATTCTCTAAGATAAAATTATTTCCTTTCTGTTGAGTTGGTATGGTCTCATAAAACTGTTGTCAAGTGATATGAGACTAAAATTACCTCATGTGAAGTCTTTTTGATATACTGTAATTAGAACCCCTTTTCATTACATGAAAAGCTAACTGGCCTTATAACTAACTGTACTCATGGTAGGGTTTCAGAGTAAGTATCTATTCACCAGAAATAAATGACAAATTACAAAAAGGCCAATATAAAAATGCTATATACTTTTTGCTGAGTACTCACAGTGCAAACATCAAAGCTGTTTACAAAATCAAAAAAGTAATTCAGTAAAACAGGCCCTATAAAGTGAATAAATACAGGAAAAATGGGACCCAATGCTATTGGCAACACAAGAAAATAACAGGGACCTTTTATCTACTTACCTGTGGATAAAGGGAGAAAGTTTCGGAAAATCTGAAGGAGCTTGGATCATCTTTGTGATACTCTCCAAATTTCTGGCACTGAATAAAACAAAATGTGTTAATAAGGTACTCCCTATGAAACAGTGTATATAGACTTGGCATGAGACTGATTACAAAAAAAAAAGAAAATATCTGAATTTCAGAAGCATGTGTTACTTTGCCCCAGCTCAATAATTCACCCTTAAATATAAACTAAGTGCTCTGGTAGAAATAAAGAATTCCTAGATAGTGACCAAAACAGTTTAACATGAACTCCCTGAGACTTACCCAAAAAGGTATTAAGCTACCATGGAAGATAAACTATCAAGGTACCACATTATCTACAAAAGGAAGTTGCTAGTACAAAATTTGGGACACCAGAGATGGGAAGGGAAAAGGAGGGAAAGGGAAAGAAGGGGAGGGAAGAAGAGGGGAAGAAGAGGAGAGGGAGAAGGGAGGGTAGGGAAAGGAATTAAAATAATCATCACTGCCCAATGATAACCACTAGCTACATATGGCAATTAAAATTAAATAAAAATTAAAATTTTTATCTGTTGCACTAGCCATGTTTCAAAGGCAGAACAGCTACATGAGGATAACAGTTCTGTAATAGACAGTGAAAATCACAATTCTATCATTGCAGACAATTCTAGATAATAATGATCTAGATAGGATATCATATATACTTAGAAAAGATCTAAAATATTAACCATATTGAAAAATTTTTGTAAAAAAAATAGGATGATATTACTTCGATCAGTCTCATCAGTTTAACTATACACATGCTAAAAACACATCCAAAGTGCTGGTAAGGTAATACATTAGGAAGGTAGACATGGTAGTAAACGCTTGCAGTCTCAGCATGCATGAGGCTGAAGAGGACTGCTGCATACCACATCGGCCATAGTGAGCTACATAGTGAATTCAAAGCCGGCCTGAACTAGCAACACCTTGTCTAAAAAAAAAAGGAAATATAATATGATAGTCATAAAGGTAAGTAAAGATTGAAAATTGTTGGTATTTATGTTGGGTAACTGGGAATGTCAAAAAAGTTCACTTTCTATGTAGGATGTATCCAACATCTTTTTATTATTACTTTTTGACAAATTCTCATTATGTTACCCTGGCTGACTTCAAACTCATGATCCTTCCACTCAACTCCCAAGTAGCTGATGATAGGGCATGCACCAGGAGGCCCACCTAATAATTATTGTACACTTTTTCTTTTATTAAGAACATTTCTTTGATCTCACTTAATACTCTATTGCTACTTCATTTTTAATGCCTGACTAGCATTCTGCTATACTGACATATACCATAATTATCTCAACCAATCACTCATTGGCAACTGCATTTGTCCTGTTGAATCATTAGGGTAATTCTTAGAGGTAGTATTTTTGAGTAAAAGGCAGTCTTAAAGTCTTTGATGTTGAGCTGGGGATGTACCTGAGTGGTGGAGCACTTGCGTAGCGTGTACAAAGCCCTGCGTTCAATCCCGCATATACATAAAAAAATAAGTCTTTGATGTGTCAACAACTTCTCCCTATCTGTTTGGGTATAGAGATGTTTATAAAAGCTGTACAGATTCATACACCACACTGTTAAGCTAAGAAGTTGTTCATCTCCCTGAATACTGGCCAGCTCTAGCACTTACCACACTTTCATTCTTACCACTTTAAACCACATAAAAACCATCTTGCTCTATTTAAGCAAAATTGGTAACTATTTAATAGCCACTTGCATTCTTCAACTCCTTGTTCGTGACCTCTGCTCATTTTTTGTTCCACTCTCCCACATCTTTTTTTTTTTTTAAGTATTGGAGCTGAATCCAGGGCTTCCACACTGAGCTATGTCCCAGTTGTTTTGTTTTTCAGAACAGACACTCTTTCACTAAGTTGCTAAACTACTGAGGGCAGCCTCAGCTTTCCAGAATGCTAGGGTTACAGGCACATACCATCCCACCTAGGTCAAGGGGCTGTAATTTTTAAAATCCTGTTTGTTGAACCCTACATGTCATATGATGGCAGCCATAGTGAAGGACAGACAGCGACCAAGCTTCCTAGTTTCCATGGCTGTCTTTCAGTCCCATCAGGCAGTCTGTGCTGGGGACTGAGCTACAGCCTGTCTGTGCTGAGCAGATACTCTATCAGTGAGCCACATCCCCAGCCCTGGGGTCTGGATCATAAATGTCCCTCCAAGGCTTTTCTCTCAGTTCTTACCCATGAGACCAGCAGCTCTGCCCCACCACTCTCTCCACGTAGTCATGGTGGATACAATTCCTCACCAAGACTCTAACCAACAGGGTCAATGATGGTGCAATGAAACCATGAACTGAAATACACTTTAAAATCAATTATCTCAAAAAGCCGACTAACACAACTATGATTATTTGGATAATTCCTTTCTCAGCCTTGGACCCAGACAACAGAGGAGACACAGAACTGCTGACAGTTTAACCAGGAAACAGGACAGGAATCAGCTAACATCGGCCTTGCAATGACCTCCACTGACCTCCCCTTCCTGCTGCCACCTGGCCACAGTAACAGATAAGCTCTCCCAGTGTGATAGAAGATCACAGCCAAATTTTCCTCATGCCACAACTCACCTACCTCTGGGCCAAGTGCCTCAGCTGTTGTCAATGTTGCAAAATGTAAGATGTGCAAATGAGAGGTAACTGCAGTTTTGCAACTGTCCAATTTAGCTGTTTACTAGGCTTTTCTGTTTCTTGTTTTATTGTTTGTGTTTTACAAACACGTCAAACAATGTTGCAATTTTTGAAGCTGAAGTGTGAGAATAGATAGCCTACACTTACTATGATTTCTAAAAACCATCTTCTGAGTCATTTCGCTGCACTCACAAGGGACACAGAAAAAGTCCCCCTTTACTAGGAAAGGTACTTAAGAGCTTTACGTGAGCTGGTAATATAGGCTGTAGTCTTCAATTTTCTGTCATACATGACAATCTACAAATATAATAGCTCCAGCAAAATAGAAAAAACATTTTATTATAAATAATAAATAACAAGTAAAAGTGCTGAGTACTTCAAGCAGCTTTTAGAATCCCAAAATAAAGCATTTGTTAGAATAAAGTCACTTTCAATGAAAAGGCTCAGGAAGCAAGCTACTTTGGAGTGCAATTTATAGCCAGGCATCTGTAATCCTAGCACTCAAAGAGCTAAAGCAGGATAATCACCAGGACTTCAGGCCAGACTGGGCTGCATAGGGACCCTGTCTCAAGAAAAACCCAACAGAGTACAGCTCACTACCCAGGAAAGGAAAACTTACATGGTGGATGAGAACCTATGAACATGTAAAATTATAGTTAAGTGAAATGATAGGGCAAAATGCATTCTGGGAAATCGAACAGTTCCCGTTTAGAGTGCTGGGAGGTAGCTTAGTGGTAGAGGAGCAGAAGCTCAGCAAGCACAAGCCCCTCAGTTCAGATCCCAGCACAACCAAAAGACAAAAAAAAGGTTCCATTTTAAACAAATATAACAGGTCAAAGAAACGATGATATGTCGTACAGTTCTGAGGAAGTTTATGTAAAGAGTTAAAAAATATAATAGCTTCTACATTCAGGTTGAAGAAGTAGTACGGTTCACAGATGTCAGATTTTTAAATAACAATGAAACTTTAAGAAAGCTTCTGGGGACCAGGGAGATGGCTCAGTGGAATAAGCGCTTCCCTGGCAAGTGCAAGGGCCTGAGTTCAATCCCCGGTTCCACAAGAAAAAAAAAAAAGCTTCTGCAACAAAAAGAAATTTTTCTCTTGCCCTAAATAAGCAAAGGTCAAAATCTACTTCATCTGGTAACTAAAGATCCATTTTGGAAGCACTGTGCTGAGGGTGTGCTGAGGGTGTCCCACAGACAGCAGATCCCATGAGGTTAAATCTCTCTT